GGGGGGCGGGGTGGTCACTGTGACTGTGCTAAGATCACGACACGACTCTGCTCTAAAGCCTCTACCCGTCATGCAGGCGTCCCCTAAAAAGCCGGGGGTGTGGGGGGTGGGTGGGGTTGGGGGGGGCGGGGGTCCTAACAGTGATCCGCTCGGACAGTTTGGTTTACATTCCACATGTCAACGTCTAAAAGAACAGTACTCTGATACAGAAATAGATTGCATTGTTAGGCAGATTCCACTACAATAATCAAGAAAAAGTCTTAAATATCTTATTACTGCACGCTCGCCCTTAAAAGCCAAAACGTCAGCGCGGGCTCGCCGCACTCCGAGGGGCCCACGGCTCGCTCTGTTTAGGACATTCAAGCTGCTCTAGGATCTAGCAGAGGCCCGTCCACAACACGGTCGGGAAGCAGCTAAACAGCTAAAGGAGCACAGGTGAGGAGAGCTGGAGGGCCTCCCGCTCCCCTCCGACCCACACGTAAAGCTCTACGGGACCAGCCAATCAGGCGGAGGCAGAGCTGGACCAGAGTCCTGGACCAGAGTCCTGGACCAGACCCCGGCACAGGCCTCTGCCTCCCGTCTGCTCGGCTCTGACGGAATGAGGATGCTAAACTAAAAGCGACGGCAGGAGACTGATCGCTGCTAAACTCGAACAAAATGAACGCTACCATTTAACTCTTGTTCGGGGGAGTTTTTCTTGTAGTGTTGGTTCCGATAAGACTCCCCCCCCCAAAAAAGAAAGAAAAATTACTCATAGTCTTTTCGTTTTGTTGTGGTTCTTTTAAAAAAAAAGCCTCGTGTGGGGGGGAAGAGGGGAGGGGGGGGGGCTCAGCGCAGCGCCTCCACGCCGTCGCTCTGCCCGTCCTCGGCCATCTGCACCAGCTCGTTGACGGTGTGCAGCAGGCTGTAGCCGTGCTTCCTCAGCAGCTGCTGGTTGAGCCGCTGGTCTCTGAAGCCCATCTCCAGCAGCATGTTCATGGTGGAGGGGTCCTGCCGGGTGGCCGGGTCGATGCCGCGCTGCAGGAGAGGGTCGGGGGGGGGACGGAGGTGAGAGGAGGGGCGATTCGGGCCCAAAGAAAAACACCTGCGGGGCCTAAAAAAAACGCATCTGTCCTACCTGGATGGAGCAGTTGGGTCCGGTGAACAGGGCCTTGTAGGCGGAGGCGGCCACAGACAGGGCCCCTTTCACCAGCCCCTCCGTGATGCCGCCCTGGCCCCTGGAAGAGAGAGGCAGGCTCAGCTTGAGTCTTATCTTACAGCGGACACACACACAACAGGAAGTAGCGTTTGCTTGTGTTGAAGATAGTCATTTTTGGTTCAGTCAACGAGGCGGAGCCGGCGTTTGCTGGCTGTCTGCACCTGGGCTGCAGGGCGTTGCCGGGCCTGGGCGTGTACGTCTCGAAGGCACTGGACGCCGAGCCGGCGGACCTGGAGAGGCCGGATGAAACTGCGGAGCACATGGAGAAAAAGGAGATAACAGAGCTAGAAGCAGAGGGGGGCCTCCTGCTTCCCAGGACGGGCTAAACGTTTTTCCTCTGAAACTCGCAGCTCTGTGCCTGATTCTCCTCGTCCGACTCACCGTTCAGGTGGACCCGGGGCTGGGGGGGCTCGTAGGCCTCGCAGGCGGGCGGACTGGGGTCCTCTGCCAGGTACAGAGCCTCAGACCTGCAAACACGAAGAGAGCGGGAGCTGAGCTCTTCTGCGTCGCTATGGAAACGAGCCTTGGGCGGGTAGGGGGTAGCCCTGTCTGACCTGGGCGAGTACAGCGCCGGCAGCAGCAGCTGGGGGGAGGCGGGGGGGGGGCACCACCTCGGGGGTGAGCGTCACGGCGTCCAGCGTCTGGGAGGCGCACAGCATCTGGTTGACGCTGGCGTGGGGGCCGGGGCCGCGGGGGGGCCAGGTGCTGGCCAGCGGCTCCTCGGCGGCGAGCGCCTGCCCCTCCTCCTCCTGCTCCTCCTCCTGCCCCCCCTCCTCCTGCCCCTCCTCCTCCTGCCCCTCCTCCTCCTGCTTCTGTCCGAGCGGCGCCTCCCTGCACGGCTCGAAGTCGCAGTCCTGCTCCTCGGCCGGGGGGGCGGCGGCGGCGTCCGGCTGGGACATGGCCGAGCTGTACATGGACTCCCCCAGCGGCCGGCTGGTGTCGAAGCAGTCCGGGAGGACGATGATGTAATCCTCGCAGGAGGAGGCCGAGGACGTCTGGCTGCTGACCTGAGAGGAACCAGAGACACCAGAAAGGCGTTTACAGGTGAAAATAGGGGGTGGGACGGTTCACAAAATCCACGGTTCGGTTCGATTCACGGTTTCGTGGTCACGGTTTTTTCGGTTCGGTTCGGTGTATGTTGATTGTTAGGAAAATCTCTTATGTCTTGTATAGTCAAGTTAAAACTGAAAGAAAAAAGCAGTCTGACATTTGATACATTATTGTGACAGTCTTAGGTTAAAACTAGGTGAGATTCTGGCATTGCCAGAGAGGAAACAGTGCTAATTCCAACATGTGCTTCCCTCTAAATGCAAAATAGTCCAATACAGCAGAATATAAACGGCTGTTGGCGCGTCTGATTTTTATCGGCTACGCTGCTTCGCTTCTTCTTCTTGTTTCCTACTGGTGGTTGGCTTTGGGCGCAGTAGCGCCACCTTCTGCTCTGGAGTGAACACGCTTCCCTCTGAGAAAAAGGAGCAGCATGAACCGAACGCAACACACGCGAACCGAACCGAGACAGTCCAACCCAACGGTTCGGACGGTTTTCAGAAACCGTCCCCTCCCTAGGTGAAAACGGCCGTTTTCTGGCTCCACGCCGAGCGTCGCAAACAGAACCGGAACTACCCATAATGCACCGCCAACGGCCGGAGCCCTCACCTCATCCCAGTCCTCCGCTGTGGCTCCGCCCTCCTCTTTCTGGTCCGGGTTGTCGCTCAGGGCCTGGAGGGCGTGTGAAACCTCTTTGTCCTCGCTGTCCTCGGTCGCGCTGACCGGCAGCTTTTCCCTCTCCGCGTCCAGCGGAGGAGCTTGAGCGGGAGGAGACGGGGCCGGCCGCCTGGGGCCCCTGCCGGCGGCGGGCGGGGGGGCGGCCTCCGCGCTCCGGCCCTGTAGCTCGCCCTGTGGCCGGCGTCCGGCGGGCGGCGCCCGGCGCGGCGGGCGGGGCTCCGGGGCCTCCTCCAGCGTCAGGGAGCGGATGACCGTCTCGCACAGGAACTGGGCCCCGCTGATCTCCTCCTCACGCTCCTCCTCCGGCGCCACAGACTCCAGCGCCTCCCGCTGCTGCCTCAGCTTCACTCCTGTGGACAAACAGACGCCAGTAAAAAAAAAACTCTTGTAGCCTCCTTTATTTGGCTCGCTTAACAGAAATTCTGAAAAGCTGGGAAATAAATCTATGCCTCGGCATGTTTTTTTTTTTTAGAGATTGTGACAGCAGAGGGCAAAACCTGCTCTCACCAAAGAGCTTTCTGACTCCGGAGGAGTCGGCCTCGTCTTTCATCTTCTCCAACACCGGGGCGTCGTGAGGAAGGGGGGAAATGCAGGGCGTCAAATCTGGGAGGAATAAAAGGGTTGAGGGCATGAAAGCAGGGACATCCGGTCGATTTCTGCCCCGTCCGAAGTACCGACTGTGACTCACCCACAGGAGTGTTGTTAGGGACCTTTTCCAGCTCTTGCACAATATTTATATCCAGCAACTCAAATGACAGCAGGTCCTAAAAGAGGAGAAAGCAGATAAAGGACTGTTACTGCCAAACTCCAAATCCAGCTGGACTGTTTGATCTTTTCGGTTGCTTCTCACTGCAGCTGACATGGAGAAAAACGGCAGAAATAAACAGCTCTGGAAAAGATGCTCTTTTGTGAGCCCCCGGTGATTTTCGGGGTGTCTTTTGGAGTCTTTTATGACTCATTTCGGACCTTTTTGTCACCGTCGTGCCAAAGCAAACAGGCTGTTTTTCTGAGCTGTGGTGAGAAAAGCAGCCACAGAGATGTTGTCTCTGTTTGATCTAAATCAAATAAAAAAAACAACCCGGCACAGCCCTCTGTGGAGGCGCCACATCGCCGATTTGTGCAGCTGGGACTTTGGCTTCAGGTTGGCAGACTAATGAATTCACAGGGCTGAACTTGGGAGGGGGGGGGGTCAATGCGGGCACCTGTGCGGTCAGCAGGTCCACTGATGGAAAGTAGTAGTCTTCTTGGGGGAGGTCTACAGTGAAGGCAAAACCATGTTCCCTGGGTTTTACCTCGTTCTCCGCTGGCTTCACCTCCTCCTTCTGAAGCACAAACAGGAATGGGGTCATTAATGCCGTCACAGTCGTCCGTCAAACACTTCCTTTCAGTTTTCCCTCTCAGACATGAGACATCATCGACCAAACGCTTTCACAGCAGACACGTGTTTTCTACTTTCTCACACATACTCAGACTTAGTTCTGTTGCTACAAAGACCCCTTTATATGCACACTGCAGTAGGAAACTAACACAAATGTGAGCCTTAAATCAATTTACAAACAAACAAACATTGATTTTAGAGTTTTAAAACCGTTTTACGACACGGAACAAAGTCACAAACACCACAGTTTTCTTTTTTTTCTCCACTTTAACCCTTCGCAGGTTCCATGAGAGACAAAACGTAAATCATAAAAAGCAAGAAAACAACTTATTTCATAGGCAGGCCGTAACAAGTTGATATAACAACAGTAGAAAGAAGCGGAGAAATTCTGATCCGTGGGATATATGGATTAGAACCTGTGAGTCTGAAGCCACCCTCATTTCTTTATATGTTGCCAGAAAAAAATGGTGCAGGTATTTATTGAAACATGTACAAACATTAACAAAAGTGCAATAGAAGTGTAAAAACAGAGTTATGATGTTTTTTTAAAATTATTATTATTAATCTCTGAGCCCTCTCCAAGCAGCTGTGTCTTTTCTTTAAGGAGTCTTCAGGAGCAGCTCTCCAGCTTCTTGAAGGACGTCCAGAAGCTCTTCTCTGGATGTTTTGCTGCCTTTGGCTCCATTCTCTGTCAGATGATCCCACACTGGAGGATCCATCCCTCCATCAGAGCTGCTGGGATTCAGTCCACTTCTGGTTCCTCTGGCAGAGCTCAGCCTTTCCTCCCCGTTTTCCTTCCTTCGTGGCTTCTGGACAGCATTTCTGATGAGGCCACCAGGAGACGGTCAGCTGGAGGTCCAGATGCAGCTCTCAGCTCCTGTTCAGCTCTCTGCTGGATCTGCTCCTCTTTCTTAAGGACATTACTTTTAAATCCTCTTCATCTGCTGGAGATAGTTTTTTAGGCCCAACTCTTCTTCTCTTGTCCAGTTTACTCAAATGTTTTAAGGACACACTGCACACCAGGCTGAGATCTGCCAAGTTTACAGCTAGCAGCTCTTCGGGAATCGTCAGATATCCTGTTTCCTGTCTGTCAAACTGTGTTTTCTTTGGTGTTTTTCTAAACACATTCCTCTGAATCAGGAACAAAAGCTGGACTGAAAACGACTAAACGCCAGCGTCCACACAAAAAGCTGTGGAGAACACCAGGAGGGGAGCCCTCTAAGAGGAGCCCGGCTCCTCAAAGGCAGAGCATAAAGAAGTGAGGGGTGGCTCCAGACTTTTTGCACGGGTCTGTGGGTGTAAACCGGTGTGGGGCGGGGGTGTCACGGCTTTGCAGACTTGCCAGTCGTGTGCTCTGGAGCCCGGCTACGCTGCTGCGGCTGCTGCCGGGGTCCACCACGATGCTGCACCAGACGCGGGGGCCAAACTGGCACCCGCAGTGGGCCAGCCGCCAGTGGGAGGTGTAGGTCCCCTCCATCACGGGAGCAACAAAGGCCACACTGACCACTCCCACTTGTCCGGGCAGCAGCAGGGGCACCGGCACCTCCCTCCGCTCCTCTGCCGCCAAGCCGAGGTTTCCCCACATGAACACTAGCTGGGTGCACGCACACACATACACAAAACACAAAATAGGAATACACATGCGAAAAAAGGGCACAAAGACACAAACACAGAACGGAAAAAAATGAAAATAAATAAATGCCACGCGCTCGAGTGTGTGGGGGGGGG